CCATGTAAAATGAAATCCTTGACAACTTTGAAATTTTCTCCACTTATCATATTGCTTACTGGCCCAGTTTTCTTTATATTGAGGTGTAATCCATACTGAAAGCCATGGTCTTTGATTTTCATCAATAAGTGCTTCAAGTTCTCTTCACTTTCAGCAAACAAGGTTGTATCATTTGCATATTGGAAGTTGTTAATGAATCATCCTCCATCTTAATGTCAAATTCTTCTTTGCATAGTCCAGCTTCTCAGGTTATTTGCTCAGCATGCAGATTTTTAAAATATGGTGAACAACCATTGACTCAAATTGAAATCTCCTGTTTACTGAAAGCAGGAGGATGGATTATAATTGTACCTTGAATTTCATATAAATAAATATGAAAGTCCATTACAGGTTTTCAGTCACTTGCCAACTACATGCATGTATTCAGGGATTTGCTTTGCTCAATAATTGTAATTTTGGTTGTTAGTAGTCATCAATCTGGCGCTAACTCATGGCAACCCCCTGCACAACAGAATGAAATGCTTCCTGGTACTGTGCCATCCCCATGAGGGGTCACAGATCAATCTTTTGTGATTCATAGGATTTTCACTGGCTGGTTTTCAGAAATTGATCACCAGGTCTTTCTTCTTAGTCCACCTTTCTCTGGGCACTCTACTGGAATCTGTTCAACCTCATAGTAATATGCAAGCCTCCATGACAAACTGCATATGAGGCTCATTGGATGGGAATCAAACTGGGTCTCATGGAAGGTGATAATTCTACCACTGAACTTCTGCATTTATGAATTGGACTGTCATTTTATTGGTCTCTTTTCCACACTGCTTCCAGTGCTATATCTACCTACTTTGAAGTGAGTTTGTGAAGAGTCACTTATGAAGGCATAAAAAGGACCATCTGAAGAATGAACTGAGACAGTCTGAAGTACACAGTGGACCCACAGCCCAATCAACTCCTTTAAGTCCCTTGTGTCCTGTTGTTATCTAAAGGCTAAATCAATTTTCCTTGCTTAAAAAGATTTAACTGAAGTGTGTCCAAAATTAACCCAGACTGTGGAAGAAAGCAAATTACAACTGCATAGTACTGAACATTAAAATATTTGTGAATTTTCCTCAAAAAAACAAACAATATAGTGAAAGGATACAACCCTCACGCACATCTTTCCCAATTTTAAACCATTCAGTATCTACTTGTTCTGTTCAAATGACTGATTCTTGGTTCTGCGTGAGCACAAGTAAGTGTTCTGGAATTTCCATTCTTCACATGTTACTCATAATTTTTCTAATCCACACATAGGAATATTAAACACAAATAAAGATGCACTTTTGGTGTGGGTTTTTGTTTGTCTGGGTGGTGCTAAGGAGTGAATTGTGTCTCCCAAAATACATGTTGAAACCTAACCTATAAAAAATGACCCTGTCTGGAAACAGTGGTTTTCTTTTATGAGGCCATACCAGAGTAGGGTGGATCCTAAACCAAATGCACTTCTCAGTTATAAGAAGGTAAGAATGGGCATAGAGACACACACAGGGAGAAGACATCCATGTCACACCCAGGAACATAAAGGATTGCCGAGGGACTCTCAGGGCTACCAACAAGGAAGGACCTTCCCCTAGAACTGACACCCTGGTTTGAATATAGTCTCCAAAACCGTGAGAAAATAAATTCCTGTTCATCCAAGCCACCACTTGTATATTTTGTTACACATGCACAACATTAGGTAACTAAGATAGGTGGGTTTTGTTTGTTTGGGTGGTGGGAAACAATAGAACTCCATGAGCACCTTTCTTTAGCAAAATACCATCAATGGAGCTTATAAGGCCATAATGGCCACATGTTGTTATTACTGCAGTTGTTGTTAAATGCTGTGGAGTCAGTTCTGACTCATAGTGACCCTGAGTAGGGTTTCCAAGAAACAGCTGGTGAGTTTGAGCTGCTGACCTCGTGGTTCAAACCGACGTTGATAAAACCACAGCACCACACCAGACTTCATAATGGCCATATCAGCCCTTTATTTAATACCATTGGATATGATGGTTTTCTATTCTGTCAATTCTCATGACCTATATCTTTACTCTCACAACACTGCAGCAAATCTGCAATGCTAAGATATAATACAGAAGACTCTGGCATAATTTGAAACTGCTATTTTACTAATAAATATCTACTTTTCTCTCTCCAGCATTAGAATTTTGATGAGACCTCCCTATCTCTGTTTTGAGACACAATGATGAATTTATAATTCATTCACTATGTTCTTAGTCATTCTTATTCTAGGATTCACAGTACTTGCTCTCTGGATACTTTTCAACACTTACTACCATAAGCCACATAAGAAAGAAATAGAACATAACATGCCAACCATTACATATCACATGTTGTGTTATGTAATGGGAGTGGTTGTCAGAAATGGGTATAAAGAATAGGAAAGAGCAAATAAAATTTCAGGCAAATTGTACCCAACCTCTAAAGAAAATTATAACTTTTTTCTAGAGTAGCAATGATAGATGCTGTGGCATTTCTCCATAAGTAATTTTATGGTGACCACTGCTTACTGGCATGGCAATGTAGGATAAGCACTGGATTGCCAACCTCAAAGTTGGCAATTCAACCCAACCAGCTGCTCCTCAGAAACCCTATACAGCATCACTAGGAGTTGAAAGTGACTTGACAGTACACAACAACAACTGCTCACTCCTTGATCTAACTGCTCATTTCTTTCACAATGGCAAAGCAGTTATATTGTTTTCTTAAGCAAATTTTTATTTTTGAATAATTTAAAATTTACAAAAAGGTTTCAAAGGTATATCCTCCACTCAGTATCCCCTAATGTTAACCACATACAAAATGATGGTACATATGTCAAAACTAAGAATATAACATTGATTGGCATTGCTATCAACTAAACTCCAGACTCTATTTAGATTTCATCAGTATCATAGTGTCCTAATGCTGCTGTTACACAAATACCACAGAGGGTGGTTTTAAACAATAGAAATTTATTTTCTCATAGCTTCATGTCTCAGCTATTTTGATTCTTTGTCAGTAGCCCTGGGTGGTTCCTTGATGATCCTTACATGGCAACTGTCTTCCCCAGTGCTTGCTTCTGTGTGTCTAGAACTGCTTTTTATATAATTCAGAAGGGATTATGCTTAGAATTCAGTCCTCATGTTTCCTTGTTGTTGTTATTAAGTACCATTGAGTTGGTTCCAACTCATAGTGACCCTGTATAGGGTTTCTGAGGAGCAGCCGGTGGGTTTGAACTACTGACCCTGTGGTTCAAAGTCCAGTGCTGATTCTACAGCACCAGTCATCTGCTTTCCTTCAATTTGTGACAGCATCTCAGTTTTTGTTTTTCATTATCTTTATAGTTTTGAAAAGTTGTTGGTGTTGTTAGATACCATTGAGTTGGTACCGACCCATAGCACCCCTATGCACAACAGAAAGAAACACTGCCCGGTCCTGGGCCAACCTCACTACTGTTGCCATGCTGAGTCCATTCATGCTGCCACTTGGCCAGTCCATCTCGCTGGGGGTCTTCCTCTTTTTCTCTGACCCTCCACCTTACCAAACATGGTATCTTTCTCCAGTGACTGGCCCCTCCTGACAATATGTCCAAAGTATGAGTGACAAAGTTAGGACATCTTGGCCTCCAAGGAGCTCTCTGGTTGCACTTCTTCCAAAACGGATCTATTGGTTCTTTTGGCAGCCTATGGCACTTTCAATATTCTCCTCTAACACCATAACTCAAATGCATCGATTCTTCTATGGTCTTCCTTATTCACTGTCCAGTTTTCACATGCATATGAGGTTACTGAAAATATCATGGCTTGGGTCAGGCGCACCTTCCTCCTCAAACTGACATCTTTGCTCTTCAAAGTACTGGTCAGTTATTTTTAGAATGTCCCTCAGAACAGGCCGATCTGTTGTTTTCTCATAATTAGAATGGAGTTGTATAGCTTTTTTAAATTCTAGGCATTATCAGTAACACATAAATAGCATCTCTAAAGCTGAAGATTTAGTATGGCAATGAGTCATTACTAAAATCTCTATGAGGAATAAAAGACACCTGATGTTTAAAATAACTAGACATTGTTGTTGTTGTTGTTGTTAAGAGCCATCAGGATAAAAAAAAAAAAAAAAAAAAAAAGAGCTGTCAAGTCGATTCTGACCCATAGCGACCCTGTATAGGGTTTCCAAGGAACAACTGGTGAGCTTGAACCACTGACCCTGTAGTTCAAACGACTTTATAGTCTGACACATTAGCGCACAGCGCCATACCAGAACTCCTTTGTGGCAAACAATCTAAACAAAAGACAGTCTGACAGAATCTCATTAATGGTTAATATCATGAAAAAAAAATTAAAAATAAAAAGATCCACTGGGATTCTGAAACATGAACTTCATAATAATATTGTGTATCAGTGATAACTTCCTAAGTATTCTTTGACATATTTTCAGAAGAAACTTTGAGAAGGGTACCAAGCTGAGACAGCAGTTTGAATAGAATCTTTTATCTAAGAGTTGGTAGTAGTTAGGAAGTACAAAGACACTGCTCCAGAGATAAAGGAGCCTAAGGCTGGCATAATGGAAAATGGTACTCATCTACGATATTCCCAACAACAGAGTGAAGGGAAGGGAATGGGGGAAAAGACAGTAAGACACAGAAAACTGAATACCACAGGTTAATACCAAGATCAGATCATTTCCTGGGGCCCAATTTCTCTATTACATTAGTCTGAATTTGATCTCTAGCTTAACACACCTACAACCTCCAAATTTCCATAACATTCTTTTTCCAAGTCTAATATAAAGCTCCTACAACTAAGCTGTGAATCATAAGCTAGTACACAAGATTTCTAACAACTGTAAAGATACCCTTACTGTTCATTCTTTCCATTATTTAAGGAGACTTGCAACACTGATACCATCAATGTTGTATCAGTTTCTACCCTCCTCCCGCCAGGTTAAGTGTCCAACAAAGAAATCTCTTCTTGACTTACAACCGCACAGCGTGCCACTTTTGAAGGAATTCTATCTTCCTCTGTTGCCCCGTTGGGCCCGGTTGCCTCTTTCCTCCTCTTCCTTGCATTGACTTTAGCTGAACTCTGCGCATCCATCTTCTTTTAATTTATTATAGAAAGTGAAAAGAAAAAAAAATGTTATTTCTCATTGGGGTGGAAAAAAAATTGTCACCAATACTCCAAAGATGATATTCTCAGGAAAAGATTAACTATAATGAACTATTCATCAAGATGAGTGGATTGCATCTTGCAAAAACACAGGCTCTTGCTGAAACACTGAAATGCCTCTTTTCTCTGTGGAACAGTGGCCACAATTAAACACTGACCTTGGAAAATCCTCCCCTGGAAAATGTAACCTGTCTACTAACTATGTACTTATCTCCTGACGACATACAAAACACTGAAAGACTGGGCTGAGAAGTTAAGTTATACAGACTTCACTCCTGTCCTTACATATAATCCCCAGGAAACCTGAACGTATGACAGGTGCAAAGAAATGGAAAAGACATGGCTGTGCTGCAGAAGGAGAAAGAGGGCCTTTCTAAAAGGACTGGTAAAGACAATTTACCCTTAAACAGCATGCCTTATCCTTTTAAAAAATAATTTGTTTTATTTTATTGTTGTTGAAACTATACACAGCAAAACACACAGACTCAACAATTTCTACATGGACAATTCAGTGACATTGATTACCTCTCATCCTCCTTTTCTGAGTTGCTCCTCCCCACTAACATAAACTTACTGCCCCCTGAGTTTCCTATCTAACCTTTCAAATTGTTGTTGTCAAACTGATCTCATAGAAGCCAGGATGGCAAGCCTCCACCTTGCATATTTTGGGCATGTTATCAGGAGGAACCAGTCCCTGGAGAAGGACATCAGTAAAAAGGAGGAAGACACTACTGCCCATGGCAGCAGCAATGGGTTCAAATGTAACAATTGTGAGGATGGCGCAGGACCGGGCAGTGTTTCATTCTGTAGTGTATAAGGTGGCTATGAGTCAGAAGTGACTTGATGGCACCAATTCCAAGGCACCTAGCAACAACAGGTGGTTCTTTAATAGAGTACAATGCTCAAGGCAAACATTCTTTACAAATTAAGCTAAACAATTGTTTGGTTTTTAAAAAGACTCCAAGGAATATTTTTGGTTTAAAGTTTAAAGATTATAATCAGCCCAATGTATTTGTTCAGAGGTTCATCTAACCTCAATGTCCTCGAAAGATAATTAGAAGGTCTGTTCCACATTTCCCCCTCTCTGATCAGGATTCTCCCACAAAATCTTTGATTAAAACGTTCTCCCCTATTAATCTTTAAGGATAGATCATTTCTCATACTCACTCATAATAATTAATGCTCAGATGAATCGTAAATAAGTTTAAATACTATGTGCTGCAAACAATCTCTCAAGTTTAGAAACTGGTGACTTAAGGATTTGTGAAGCACATATAATAAAAATCTATTTTCACATATGGAAAGATTATCTCACATTGAGGGAAAAATAGCTCACATTGAGAAGAAATCAAATATTCATTAACTAGTAGAAGCCAGTAATTTATGCAATTTATCTTTGCCTTATTTCTCTATATTCCATCTCTTATTTGTGATTTTATTCATTCAGTACAAAAGAAATACAACATATAGTTCCTGTACCCCCAATTCAATTTTTATAATTCTCCTGGATACCTTAATCATTGTCTCATTTTACTCCCTCATGGCCTCTCAATTACTCCCTATGCCTTACTCTACCTTTCAATTCCTTGTATTCCTGGATATTCTCTAAACTACCATCATCAAAGTGAGGCTCATCCTAACAAATACACTGGGCTGGTCATTTTAAAGATAAGCCAACAACATATACCTCAGACATCAGTTGTTGTTGTTAAGTGCCATCAAATCAGTTCCGATTCATAATGACCCTCTATAGAGTTTCCGAGGAGCAGCTGGTGGCTTTGAACTGCCAACCTGTGGTTTGCAGTCTAATGCTGATCCTACACTACCACACCAAGAATCCAATTTACTCTTAAACAGGCTACCCTATAATTTTTAAAAATAGTTTGCTCTATTTTGTTGTTGAAAATATACACAGCTACTAGCTATATGAAGGAGCTCTGCTCTGATAGCGTAGTGGTTACAAATTGGTCTGCGAACCTTAAGGTCAGCAGTTCAAAACTACCAGCTGTTCCATGGGAGAAAGATGAGACTTTCTGCTCCCGTAAAGATTTATAGCCTCGGAAACCCTGTGCAGGGGCACTGTGAGTTGGAATTGACTCCACAGCACATAACCACCAACCACCACTAGTTATATCAGTAATGACTGAAGTTATCAAAGACTTCACTTTGCTTGAATCCACCATTAACACCATGGAAGCAGCAGTCAAGAAATCAAACAACGTACCACATTAAGCACAGGCCTCTTTAAAATGTTCAAGAGCAAAGGACAAAGAATTATAATGGAATGTGCAAAGATCTGGAGTCAGATGAGCAAAAAAGAACTTAGTATTTCTCAAGCTAAGAGAACTGAAGAAAAAATACAAGTCTAGATTTGTAATACTGGAGCAATCTATGGGCAAAATATTGAATGACATCTGTGATGTACTGAATTGTTTAATGTATCTTTTCTAGACTTAGTGTTTGTAACTCCCACCGAAAGACTTTTTCTGATGTGTCTAAGTAGAGAAGGTGGTAGAAGATATTTTACAGGATGACCTGATCAGCTGTGAATGTTAACAGAGTTAACTGTAATTGTGAAAGCATGGAACTCTAACATGAGTTAAAAAACGAGCCATCTCAGAAGCAGGAGGGTGGTCTCATTACCATCAAAGAGAAACAAAGAGGAGTAGAGAGCACCCTTTGGGCCCCAAGATCCCTGTGCTTTGAGCCTCCACGACCCAGGGACAAAAAACTGTGGCATCAGAGGAATGGCAGAGAAGCAGCAATTGAAGAAGAACCAAGAACCAGAGCACGAGACAGAGCAGTGGGCTTCCCAGCTCACGGAACAAGTAAAACTGAGTGACTTTAGGCAGAAAGCTTGCTTGTAGAGTGAGTACCTCCAGGGCACTTAAGTGGGGGAGCTAGGTTTGCTGATGCACAGAGGTAGAGCCAAGTGCCTTCAGATGAGGTTTATGATGGAGTAGTGTGTCCTGTAGACATTTATCAGCAACTAACTGGAACAACTGTACCCTGAGTATTTTCTGAACCTGCTAATTTTCCTAATAAACACCATAGCTATGACAAAAAAAAAAAAAAAAAAATTTCAAGGGCAAAGATGTCAGTTTGAGGACTAAAGTCCTCACTTGACCCAAGCCATGGTATTTTCAATAGCCTCAGAAGCATGTGAAAGTTGGACCATGAGTAAGGAAAATAGTAGAAGAATTGGTGCATTTGAGTTAGGGTATTGGAAATATTAAAAGTACCATGGACTGCTAGAAGAACAAGCAAATCTGTGTTGGAAGAAGTAAAACCAGAATGTTTCTTAGAAGCCAGGATGACCAAACTTCATCTCTCATAGTTTGGACATATCAGGAGCGACCAGTCCCTGGAAAAGGACATCAGACTTGATAAAGTGGAAGGACAGAGAAAAAGAGGGAAATCCCCAATGATACGGACTGGCACTGTAGCAGCAACAATGGGCTCAAGGGTAACAGCAATTGTGAGGATGGCACAGGACCGGGTGGTGGTATTTTGTTCTGCTGTGCATAGGGTTGCTACGAATCAGAATACACTTGACAGCACTTAACAACAATAACAATGTAGCTAAGGAATTCTGGTGTGGCAATGTAGGATAAGCACTGGACTGCTACCCTCAAGGTTGGCAATTCAAACCCACCAGCCACTCCTTAGAAACGCTATATACAGTTGCTAGGAGTTGGAACCAACTCGACAGCACTTAACAATGTAGCCAAGCATGTTCAAAGCACATACTTTACAAAGGCACCAAAGTAATGACTCCTGGTATGGCACTGTAGAATAAGCCCAGGACCACAAGATTGGTTTGAACCACAAGGTCAGCGGTTCAAACTCATCAGCCGTTCTTGGAAACCCTGTACGGGGTTACTATAAATCGGAACATACTCAACAACATTTAATAACAACAACAACAATTCATTTGGAGTCCTGGTGTAGTGCTGTAGGATAAGCACTGGACTGCTAACCACAAGGTTAGCAGTTAAACCTACCAGCTGCTCCCCGGAAACCGTATATAGAATCACTATGAGTTGACGCAACAGAATTTAACAACATTCATTCATTTAATGTATCTGTCAAGTGCCAAGTATCAGCTAAATGCCTTCAAAAAAAGTTCACATTACTTAAAAAATGCATCCTCATCTGTAAAGTGAAAAGACCAAGTTTAGTTATCTCTTTTTCCCCATCAGCATCAAGGCCTCAACAGATCTAAATGTCTTTGTTTCATTTACTGGTCAACTTACATCAGTTCTCCCAGAATAGGGTTAAGTAAGAAGAGATTTACAGGTAAAAGGGGAACCAACCTCCATGTCAACAGCAAGTACATAAAGCTGTACTATAGACAGCAACGGAAACCCTGTACAGGGTCGCTATGGGTCGGAACCGACTCGATGGCACTTAACAACAACAACAATAGACAGCAACAGCATTTGGATAGGGCCACAGCCACTGACAAAGCAGACATACTACAACATGAAGAACGCAACCAAGGTCACTGAATTGTTGGTAAGTGCCAGCAAGTCAGTTCTGACTCATAGCAACCCTATATAGGGTTCCCAAGGAGCAGCTGGTGAATTTGAACCACTGACCTTGTATCTCAAACTGACCTTGCAGCCCAGTGCTTATCCCACAGCGCCACGTGGGAATTACTAAAGGGTATGTTTGGCTGCGCATATTTTCACAAAATGATAATAATAATTAGGTGAAATAAAGTAACAATGGAATTGAAAAAGAAAACCAAGCAGACTTCAAATATGCTCCCGTATCACGTTGACCTTTTTAGGTAGCTGAGATATACATATATGGGCACATTGCAACAGAGCAGTTTTTGAAAATGAAGGTGTTTTATCTAAACTTCTAAATTATGTAAGATAAAAATACATGAATCTTTTCCCATAAGAAAAGTGCTGCTTCTTCTAACC